GGTTGAATCAGCATGTGGAGAAGGGAAATGAAGATGGATTGTTTATTAGTTGTGTGGCTTCAGCAGCAAATCTCTGGGCCCTGATCATGGATGCGGGAACAGGATTCTGCACAAGGTTATCATTCTAAAACAATAATTCCTCTCGTTTTACCTGTCGGTTTACATGCATTTTGACTGACTTTAATATCAATTTGGATTTAATCAGGATTGGATTATGGAGCAGTGGGAAAAAAACTACTATATTACTTCAATAGCTGGAGCAAATAACGGGAGTTCCTTGGTTGTTATGTCGAAAGGTTGGTAATTTCCTAATATACATATATATACCTATGCCAACGAGTTTTCTGAGAACATAGTATTGCATGATAGAATTCATATATTATAATATTACAATTAGCTTGGAGGGTCAAGACACTTTCAGTTTAGGTGCATATCTCTGGACCTGCTGCCAAGATGCTGCAGGCATGTACATTTATAGCATCATGAGATGAATCATAGTTTTTCAAGGGCGGATCCCTGGACCTTTTTGTGTGCTGTCTAGAGATATGCATCGTTAAGAACTTGTGTGGAGAAAAGAAAGTGTTGAATTGAGGCTTGTTTTCTGTAATTAACCTTTAGCAAGAAAATTCACAGAGCATCAAGTTGGCGACCTTCATGCCTCAGATTCTATCTACAGCATATAAATGAAATCACCTAATTATGGAGCTGTTGTCATAATTTGTCTTTGTAGGAACTCCTTACACTCAACAGTCGTACAAAGTAAGTGAATCTTTTCCCTTCAAATGGATAAATAAGAAGTGGAAAGAGGGCTTTCATGTAACATCGATGACAACTTCCGGGAACCGGTGGGGAGTGGTTATGTCGAGGAATGCTGGATTCTCCGATCAGGTATTCCTTTCTTTTGCTCTTCATGTACGTCTTTCTGTTTTTCCACTGCTCTCCATTCCCAAAAGTAAATTGCTGTTTATAACTTCATTTTATGTTTATGTTAATGATCCAGGTTGTGGAACTTGACCTTTTGTATCCAAGCGAAGGAATACATCGGCGGTTGGAGAGTGGTTACCGAATAACATCAATGGCTGCAACTGTAGATCAAGCTGCCTTCATACTAAGTGTTTCAAAACGAAAAACGATGGACGAAACCCAGGAAACTCGTCGCACATCTGCCTTTCCTAGCACCCATGTAAAGGTGTGTATAAGCTGATTTTTGTCCCTTTGATATTTTTAAACACCATTGGCAATGCTGGTTAGCTTCTTTATGCATTAGCAATGGGTGCCAACCACTAAGTGTTACTCGATCTATTCTCTTTACTATAGAAGCTTGACCTCTTGCTTCGTGGAGTTTATTTTTTTTTGAATACCCGATGATTGTTCTCTGTTACCACTGTTCTTGTTGCAGGAAAAATGGGCCAAAAATCTCTACATTGCATCGATTTGTTACGGGCAGACAGTCTGCTAATTCTGGAGTGTATATCGTGATGGTCCGAGGTGAACAGAGAATGCTCAAAATCTGAAGCTGTTGAGGTATTTTTGGTCTCTACTATTGGTGGGGTTTGTTCTCCTATATAATCTTCTGAGATGCGAATGTAAAAGGCTGGGATGTGGGGGAGAAGAAAATTAATACAATTTGAGAACCTCATAAAGTAATGGGAGCTGTTTGTTGAATCAAATGATGCTCTGAATTCATCATAAATTACTGCAAGTAAACTGCAATGTTCATTCCTAAGTTGGAAATCTTTCCTCTCCGCGGATTAATATTTAGTCGATCGTATTTGGTTTTTGTCGGTTCATCCCGTCGGACTTACATGTTAGTTGTGAGCACCTTTTGTCATTCGGCCAATTCATGGGTCCAATATTCTTTAGCTCCATATTCTTTCATCGTCCATATATCAAATCCCCAAAGTCTCGACATTCTCAAACCATCCAAACTCACTGCAAAAAGAAAGAGGAGATTAAAGCAATTTGGGTAAGTACTTGAAGCCAAAGAAAGTCGCCAAAATTCTCAACTTTCTCTAACCATCATTGTTGAAGCTCTAACTATGCTTAGTTGTTGCCAAGACAATGAACTGGTTCACTGCAAAAACAAAGAGAGGATTGAAACCATATGGATAGTGTTTAAAACCAAAGAAAATTGCCCTGCAAATTGGATTGATGAAAGCTTTTGCAGACTCTGATATCTCACTTTGTTTATGACCATTCGCGGGTCAATGGGTGATCAACAAGGCTCATGGCCTTGGTTAGCAACCTCCATTGCACTTAGGAGGGGCGCTCGCCTAAGGTCTCCCCAAAGTGAGATGGCCTATGTCATAATTTGTGGCAGTGGGGGCCTGCGTTTACGCATCCATCTTATTTTGTAGTTCAAACCACGCATCCATCAACAACTTTGTTTAGATCAGTAGTTTTTTTCTTTCTGTCAAGTAACTGTTTATTTCAAACCAATCAAGATTATCAATGTTAGCAATTGTTTTTCCTTAAATTAAACACAAATAAAAATCCATCAAAGAAGATGAAAAACAACTTTTCTTCCGTGGCATTTTGGCAATGAAATTCAAGTCTGACCATTCAAAAGAGAGTCAATGTCTGATATATAACTTGGTTCATATGACCATTCGAAAGAGAGTCCATGTCTGATATCAAAGCAAGGCCTCTTGATCCGGAATCGGGATATCTATACTTTCCTGGACTTGTCAAAGAACCAGTTATCCGGAGAAATTCCACATTCATTAGGTGTTCTCAAAGTTTGAAGCTACTTAACCTTTGATTCAATGAACTTTCTGGCAAAATCCCAGTGAGTTTCCGTGATTTACAGAGCCTTGAGACCTTGGATTTGTCACACAATAAACTTAATGGTGAAATTCCAGGAACATTTTCCGAGCTCCAGGAACTAAATTATTTAGACTTGAGCAACAACAAACTTGGTAGTAATGTTCCTGGTGGTCCTCAAATGTATACGCTGGTTGATCCAAAGATTTATGCCAATAACAGCGGACTGTGTGGGGTGCAAATTCGGGTTCCTTGTGAAGAAGATTTGGTTCCACGAGGGTCACCATGGATGAATTGGATTCTTGTTTTCAGCTGTAGTGATGTGTGTTATCGGTTGTTTCAACGGTGGAGCATCGCATCATCGTCAGGGCCATCGTACTCTTCTATGGTGATGATTGACTCAAAGTTCCTAATTGAACTACACCATGTTAGGCAAAGACTATGAGCTATATCATCTATTATACATTTGTTTAAATGGATTTGTGTAAGAAATGTGCCTAATCGATTGTTTATTGAACCTGCCATCAGTTCCATAGGATCTTATATTGACTAATCATATACACAAGCATATAATAGTCTCTTGAACCATATATATGCATATATGAATAATAAACATTGTAAATGTTACAAATGTTTCCCTTCGGATGGAACTGCACTTTCAACCAGTTCCTCATCAACGAGCTGAAAATCGGTGGCAATTGTTTTCTTAAATGAAACACATGTAAAATGCAATGATGAAGATGAAAAGCAGCTTACTTCAGTGACATCTTTGGCAATGAAATTCTTATCCTCCATTTCTTTCTCAACTTACAGCACAAAATATTAAGCTTTTCAAGGTATAATCTTTGAAGCAAAAATGTTGAAAAGGGATTAATCTGATCTGATCAAAAGCTTCTTGAAACTCTCACAGATAATTCCTGGGATTTTATAGATCTGGTATTGGCGCTAGCCATGAGGGAAGCTTTTGCAGACTCCGATATCTCACTTTGTTTATGACCATTCGAAACCGAGTCCATGTCTGATTTACAACCATTTTCAGTCAGTCAGATAAAGAAACAAGGAAGCAGATTCTAATCTATTTAGAGTTTTATATATTCTTTGTAAATCCCCCGTGGCTTCATTCAGTCTCACCAGTCAGCAGGAAAAATTCATATACAGGACTATTTATGATAAAGCACTAATCCCGCATCGACCAAGGACGATAAGGGGGAACGAGCGGGGCTTTATAAATAAGAGGCAACTAGCTTCGTTACAACATACTTACCTGGACGGGGTCAATGGGCGATCATCAAGGTCCATGGCCTGGGTTAGTGACCTCCATTGCACTTTGGAGGGGTGCTCGCCTAAGGTCTCCCCAAAGTGGGAGAGCCTACGTCATAATTTGTGGCAGTGGGGGCCTGCGTTCGCGCGGCCCCCTTCCAATTTTGTAGTTTTAATTGTTTTATTCCATTTGTAACGGGGTTTAACTGGATATAATATTTCTGGAACTTTTTATTGATTACTAATTTGACTGTTCATTTCAATCCAAGCAAGACTATCAATATCAGTAATTGTTTTTACTAAAGTAACACAAATGAAAATCTATTAAAGATGAAATGCCAGCTTACTTTAGTGGAATCTCTGGCAATGAGATTCTAATCTAACCATTCGAAAGAGAATGAGAATCTATTAGATGGAAAACAGATTTACTTCTGTTGCAACTTTGGCAATGAAATTTTTCTGACTATTCGAAAGAGTCGATCTTCTATATTTACATTTAACTTGGTTCATATGACCATATTCGAGAGTCCATGTTGATTTACAACCATTTTTGATCAGTGACATAAAGAAGCAAGGAAACCGATTCTAATCTGTTTAGGAGTCTCGTATATTCTTTTGTGTGTTGAATATAGTTAGCAGTAACAGCTAAGATGATACGTGGCTGAAGCTGGGTTTGTCAGTTAGTATGGTTAGGGTTGTTATGCCAAGCAGTTAGGTTTAACTGCATTGTAGTTCATATTCGTACTATATAAATGATGTATTGCAAGTATGGAAATGATGAGAACAAGAACGATATTCATTCCGAATCTATGTAGTGAAAGTTCAACATTGTATATCTGTTTAGGAGCTTCATTCAGCCTCACCAGTCACCGGGGAAGTGGAGAATCATGATGAAGCACCGATCCCATATCGGGTAAGAAAGAGGAAGAACCACAAGCTGGGGCTAATAAATAAGAGGCACCTAGCAGCATTGAAACATACTTACCTGGACGGGGTCAATGGACGATCAATAGGGTTCATGGCCTAGGCTTGTGACCTCCATTGCACTTGGAAGGGGTGCATGCCTAAGGTCTCCCCAAGTGGGAGAGCCTACATCATAATTTGTGGTAGTGGGGGCCTGCGTTCGCGCGGCCCCGTCAAACGTAAGTTCAATCATTTGATTTTCCAGCTAGAAGCGAATTAGGATATTGCAGTGCAATCCTCACGCCAATTCCGACTATTGGTATGGAACTGTTCAACTAACAGCAGGGTGGCAACTGACTCGTCGTGGTGGTTTAAATTAAACTGATTAAACTCAGATAGAGCTAGGAAGACCGGTACGGGATGGGCGGTGTGTGTTGGTGTCTCGCGAGACTCAATTGGTAGATGGATTAAAGGCATTAGGAAAGCCTTAGGTTTCTGGTCAGTGTTGGATGCAGAGCTGTGGGGAGTATTTTGTTGCTTCAAACATGTTTGTAGGATTGGAAATAGCTTGGGATACGGAAACAAGGATAAACAGCATAGAAATAGATAGGAAGGACACTTCGACTCAATTTATTTATGCACCTCAAGAGAGCAACAAGGTGGGGGATGGTATGGCTAAATTTGCATGGTCCGTTCCCTTTGGTCTTTCATATTTTCAAGACCGTCAGATGGTTTCGACTCGATGCTACAAGCGGACTCTCTTAATAGTAATATATTCCTGGGACTTTTAGGTTGGTGAATCTACTTTATCAGTATATGCTCTTTGTAAAATGCTGTCTTGACTAACTAGTTGGCTAAAAGCAAGAGAGGATTAAAAGTTTGAAACCATTCGCCCAATGTCTCAAAAATTCTCTAACCATCCATGTTCAAGCTAAGGTATGCTTGATTGCTTGGTTGTTGCCATGATATCATTGAACTGGCTCACTAAAACAGCCAACGGTTTGGATGAACGTTTGAAGCCAAAGAAAATTGCCTAGAGTCTTAAAATTTTCTAACCATCGACGTGTCGAACCAAGCCATGCACGGTTGTTGCTGCGGACATGAACTGCCTCACCTCAAAAGCAAGAGGGTATTGAAAACAATATGGATGAACTGGAATGGGTAGCCATATATGGAAAAAGAAGGCCGCATTGTGTTAAAAAGATCCCCAACTCCATTTGAAAGAGAGTCCATGTCTGATTTTAAGCCATTTTTAATCAGTGAGATGAAATAAAGGAATAAGAAGTTATAATATCTTCGGAAGTTTCATCATTTCTTTGTAAATCTGTGACTTCATCTCTTTGTGATATCACTTACAGGAACAATCTTCCCACCCTTGTCATGGATGAGGCTAGCAGCACAGGAACCGAAATTTCCGAAACCCCCGAAATGTAGTTTCTGATACCTTTTAAGTGTTTGTGTCGGAATTTAAATTTATTTGGCGTCGAACGTGCACCTGTATTACAATTTTTTTGTCCAGAGATGGCCTTTCCATGGTGTCATTAAGAAGGGCCCATGTGGCAAAGATGACTCCTCTTCCGGTAGCTGCTTCTCTGCCAAGTGATAACAGCTTGAATCAGAAAGAGAAATTATGAAGTCAATGCCCTATCTTAATTTGGATGTACATTCAGTCGATTTTCCGGTCACTACAACAGGTGAATAGCCAAGGAATTTGGAGTACTCATCTAATATCCATGCCATTGTCCGTTTAACCAAGAGAAACATACCATCAATGATGTTGTAATTCACGTTCAGAATGCTAGAACCAACTAGGTAGAAGGAAAACTGAAAGGAATGGCATATTTGATGCATATATGTTGCACCTGTGGACCTGTACCCATATCAGGTGCTGGAATATCTGTGTGAACCCCAATCAGGTCATGTATCTTCTGGGTGAAAATTGGACCACCATGGCTCGAAAAACTCAAAGGACTGTTCTCCTTTCAGAACTCATCGTAGAAGGCATTGCATGATGGATAACTCCAACACGAGTCTATAACCATTCTCAATTGCCATGAATGCCAATCCGAATCCGTTATTACTACTCGTTGGCTCAACCAGGACAATCTTCATCGTGTAGGAAGAATAATGGATAGCTGGAGACAAGGTTCCATTGACTCTAACTTGGCTGCAAGTCGAGCTCCACATCCGTCTACAACGTTTTTTAGATTACTAATGGTGTTTTACCAATCACTGTTCATTTCAAACCAAACAAGATTATCAATGTTACCAATTGTTTTCTTAAACTAAACCAAGTAAAAATCCATTAAAGATAGTATCCGCGCGGACGTGTCGAAGACACGTATTACCATTACCATTACCACGACCACGACCACGACACGACACGACCCGACCCGACCCGACCCGAGACGGACGGCGGCGGCGGTGCGCGAGAGTCCCCCTTGTTCTCTATCACTCAACAAGGAAGTGGGAAAGCCAAGCCTTAAATACCATTCTCAATAGTGTATCCAATACAATGTGGGATTGAGCATTACCAACACTTGTTTCCAATACAATGTGATTATTCAGGAAACAATTAACAATCATGCACCTTAAAACAACTGAATCAACAACCAATTACATTAGTATTATACGATTAAATATGTCATAATTAAAAGTCAATCTACAATCAATCGCGATTATTGCAATTTTAAGCAAAACATTCAAAAATAATATCACTATTTAAGGCTCAATCCCACATAGTATTGGGAACAAGTGTTGGTAATGCTCAAATCCCACATAGTATTGGAAACACTATTGGGAATGGTATTTAAGGCTTGGCTTTCCCACTTCCTTGTTGAGTGATAGAGAACAAGGGGGACTCTCGCGCGCCGCCGCCGCCGTCCGTCTCGTCTCGGGTCGTGGTCGTGGTCGTGGTCGTGGTAATACGCGAAATGGAAAATCGCAACGCGACTGTAGACTATCGCAACGCGAAATGGAAAATCGCGTTGCGATTTTCAACTATCGCAACGCGAAATAGAAAATCGCGTTGCGATTTTCAACTATCGCAACGCGAAATGGAAAATCGCAACGCGATTTTCAACTATTGCAACGCGAAATGCAACTCGAATTTGCGATAGTGGAGATCGCAATGCGAATTAGAGATCGCATTGCGATTTTGTTGGTCATTTTCGCAAATCCAAAAAAAGTTGGTCAAAATCGTATATTATCTGAGATTTTTGGTCACTAAGGTTATTTTCTCTTATTATTATTATTATTATGATTATTAAATTATTATTTTTATATATATTATTAAAATAATAATAATTACAAACCCAAAGACCCAAAGACCCGTTTACAACACAGGCCCAACTAAAATCGGTCCAGATCAGATGAAAACCCTAAACATTTAAAATTTCAGTTAAAATTTCTAAACCCTAGCTCCCACAGCCGCCTTAACTATCTCCAAGAGCTTCCAGCCCCAGATGTTTGAGCCCACTGCCACCATGCAACCGACGATTCTGCTACCACCACCTGGCCACCGACGTTCCAGCTGCCTTGCACTTCTCTCCTATTAGACATATACATTCATCAGTTCGATTCCTCTTCCTTCCAGATGAATGGGAAGGGAAAACTTCTTGCTTAGTGTGACCTCATTCTCGACCATAGCCAGACCTCTTTCTAAGGATTTAGGCTAGGGGATTGTGCTCTATAGAAAGACATAGGCGATCACAGAGTTAGTATTATGGGTTTATATTAAAATGAAAGTAAAGGTTCTATTTCACTCTCGAGCCTTATCTGAATCGTTGGCTTAGGCGCAGAGGATCATTTCATATAAATGCAGCAATTTCATCCCAAGAGGCACACTTGGATCCATGAAAACCAGAATTGGAAGGATCTGTTGAACAAGCTTTTTCTGATCCTGGTTTGGAAGATTGATCGAATCGATTTCCCACATTCTAAAGATCTTGATCCAGATAGGGTCGCCTTCTTTGCTGACGCTCAACCTCGCATCCTTAGGCTATCGATCTTCGCAAGGACTATATGAATAGGTAAGATTGCGAAAGCATAAGGGAATGTGTCTCTCTTTCCACGAGCATTTTCTGACTCTTTGATTCCAAGCATTTACGGATAGATTCTCGGATCTCACCCTCACCTCTGCAAGCAAGAAAGAATCAAGGGTTGCTTTAACTCCACTCAACTTTCAGGATCGAGCCAGAGAAAAGAGAAGAAAAAGAGCTTTCTTTCAAGCAGTTAGCTGGAGGTAGTGGGAAAACAAAGACCAAGGAAAAAGTCAATGACGGGTTGAAGAACTTAGCTTCAAGACTGTCTGGGGCTAATCGCGAAGGAAAAAATAGTCCAAGCTGTTCATACTAGCTATAGCTTTGAGCAAGAGAAGATTCCTTCCCACTCAGTCAATCATTGTGATTGAACTGTGACAAAGAAAGATAGAAAGATAGAAAGATCGGGCAATCTCCTATATCAAGGTTTGGTACGGTACCTATAGCCACTGCTTGCCTTACAACTGCTAACCTTTAAAATTCAAATTGTTCTGCTCTACGCTGGTACAAGGGCGTGCGGAGGACTTGACCCATGCTACTTCCTTCGTAGAGTGTCCATACGGCCCCTACCCCCGCTCCTATGTTCGATAGGCCTAAAGGCCCCTATACCGGTATAGTGGCTTGAGCTAATTCTTCCATTGACGTTAAGCTACGTCATCTTCAATGCCATCGGTTCTTCGAAAATTCACTCCTCCCGTGCCTTGGGACTTGGACCCTTCAACCTCGGATCTTGTAATTTTTCTCTTTTTTTTTCTTTCCAACTATTCCCGGGGCAGTTTGTTGGGTTCTGTTTTGATCGACCGTTCTTGTCCCTTGATCAATTGGGGGTGTGGGAGTTGCTTCGAAAACGCCTACCCCTCATTCGGTAAAGCTGCTTGAAACTCCGTCACCTAGGAATAAAGAAAAAAGGCTCTCTTCTCCTCTCAGCAATCAAACTCCATAACGTATAGCGCCCACCTATAAAGCCTATTTCTACTCGTCTAAGGGTCTTGCTTGTTCGGCCGAGATGAAATTACATCTTTTATAGAAAAAAGAACCCATCCCTTTACTCTTGTTGAGTAAAGTCCCTTAACCGTTCGTTTCAGAACTCATCCGTTATTCGTTTAACGATTCTTTCTTTAGTTGGCTAATCGTGAAGTCACGAAGAAAGACAAGCTTATCTCCCCCACGTTGGGAAGGAAATTCAGTTGAAAAC